AGTCTACACAGAACAATCACTTCATTAGCCTTCAGAAAGCAGAACTGGGTCAGAAAAGCGATAGACAATGCAGATTCAATATTTTCTAAATCTTTCTGATGGCAAATTGAGAAGGTTATTTTAGCCCTACTATCACTCTCGTTCACCGTGTCCTTGCCTGTAGAGATGGAATGTGGGGACTGCCGTTTTCTGTCGGCCATTTCACTTGATTGATTCATGTTTCAGGTTGTGCAGGAGTGAGGACTTCCTTTGTATGAGCCAGCTCAGGAGTGAAGGAGAAGCAGATCAAGTCAAGCTCAACTCCATATCGAGACAGGGTGGCTCCAGGGTCAACATTGCTACCCCACAGCGCACGTTTGTACGTGTGGAGTGCAGTGCAGTGTCGGTCATCCATCTGTACTTTTCATTTTTTTCTGCTCGCTTTTCACACAGTCACACCGCCCTCTTGTGGCGCAAGCACGAACTGCGCCTCGAACTACCAGAGAAGAAAATTTTCCGTCTTTCTATTGTTGCAACCTTCGTTTAATTATGGGTTTTAAAAACTTTAAGCCGCGTTGTAATTGCTACTACAATGCAAGGCATCTGTTTCACATAAAATATTTCCAGTAACCACGCCCGACTGTATGGGTTGATTGGGATGTGAAAAGCTGACCCTGCCAATGAAGGATCCCGCGCTAGCGGGCCAGAGTGTTACTTGCAGGGTGTGAATGGTCGTTGAAATCGAAAAATTCGCAAAAGCTAAGTAAAACAACAGACTGCACTAAAATGCCACTGCCCAGCTGCTTTAACTGCAGATAACGTGGAAACGTCACTGAGAATCAGTCGCTTAAAAAGAATGCTCTCCCCCGTCATGTGACAAGGACTACGGCTTCGTTTACATCCTTTGGGCCGATGGGCTTCGTGACGCCATTTCCGCTTCCGGCCGGACGTTCCCTGTACGTTGTTGGTGTCGCGCCGTGCGAGCCGAAGAGTTCACTCTTCTTTGGGAGCTGTTCGGGTTTATTTTACTGTTGAGTTTTTTTTTCCGATTATAGTAACATTTTTTAAAACGAAACTGCTGATATTTTACTTAAAAAGTCAACGTTTACCCATTTCAAGTGAACCCGCGTGGTGAGTACCGATTGGAAGAGGAACGGACGGTGTTAACGCGCCACATTATCGTCGTACTTTTGTTTATCGGTGTAGTTACTGGGGAATATGGGTTTTAGGAAGTGTTTCAGAACTGTTGATGTTCATCAGCGAAACTTTTATATCCCGGATATAATCAGACATTGTAACCGCAGGACTTGAGACTCCTAGTGCACAGGGTCGTGTATGTACGAGGGCATGGATGTGTCACGTTGACAACTTTCTTGTATAATTAATTGAACAGATAGTATAGTAATTGCAAAAATGCTTAGTATGTTTCCTGTAGCATCACAGTTAGCACCATAGCGCACTGCTGGGC